AAAATGGGGGCAACTTTGCATGCGGCCACTAGCGCTGTCGAGTTACAATCCCATTGGAACCAGGGCAAGGGTTTAAAGGCATCTTGAACATATGTCCCACTTGCTTTAGAATAGTGGCTAGCTCTTGCCCCAAAGAGGAAGACGAGCTACACGAGAGCAGGAAGCGGGGAGCCTTCCAAGATGGGGAGGGTTGCTTTCGTGGCTGAGCTTATCGGCGACTTCCTTCCTGCCAGCCCTATTCCTGGCCAGTCCATGGGAATGGCTGGGAAGTCTGCAGCAAGCGCAAGTAGCGCGAGCGCGCGTGCAGTACCATCCTGCGCTCCTCCCTTCTGCCTTCCACCTCCTCCCCTGGTGCCGGCAGGCGCCACTACCTGAGAAGGAGTGTTGATGCCTGCTTATTCGGTCACGCAGGCGCCTCAGCCTGGCGTAGCAGGACAGGCCAACAGCCACCACTGGAAATAGATTAAGGATAAGCTGTGGGCATGCCACGTCTGTTACACCAAATGCACGCAGAGTACCCACTTCACACCGCAGTGCGCTTAGGGTATAATGCTGTTTTCAACGCGATCGCTGCCAACCCGCGAAACCACAGAATCTACATAGCCAGTTACAGTGATGACCAACTCGTACTTGTGTGCTCCTCTTGCGGTTGCCTGTGCCAAGGCCGGCGAGTTGTAGGGCTAACCGAGCCTTGCAAAGAGAGGTTCGCCAGCCCTCCTAACAAGTCCAACTGGGACAGGATGTTCCAGAGGAATCACCCCAACCTTTCTAAAAGAGAGGCTAAGATGCTGGACGAGCTGCTTCCGCTGAACAATGTTTGCAATGGGCTTCGAAAACATAGATCTACCCACTGTCCGTCTCTTCCTTTCCTCCTCTCGGCCTTCCTTCTTCTCCTATTAATTGCTTTCTTAATCTTTCGCGTCAGAGATCCTGACCAGTCCGTTTGGAAACCTGGTTCACGGTCGTGCTGCGGCTGCGTTTGTCTGGCGTAGAGCTGGTAGCAGATAATGGTGAGAGGGTTCGGGAATTCAAGGGGGTACTGTCTACACGAATCCAGCCCTGTGTACTCGAATACCTTTCGGTTAAAGCGGCTTGCAAGTCGTGCGAGAGAAACGCAGCCTAGCGAGAGTCACACCCAGAAATGAGTTTAGAGCCTCCCTTGCAGAGATAGCAGCCATGTTTCTTAGTTATACAGTTCGCGGTTGGACAGACCTTCGACCGAAGCGACATCCCCCAAAACCATCCTCCATTCCTGGTCCTCATATGTCAATCCTCCCTGTCGCACCCCGAGTCGTGTCGGAAGGACGAGCTGGGCGTTTCGCCCGAGACTCCCTCACCTTTCATGAACCCGGAACTTCCAACTTGCAACACCTTCACGGATAGAGGGCGGGTCCTTATCAGAATGCGGCCCTCGCCCTCGAACCGCGCACATTCGTCTGAAAGGTTTGCAAACATTTTACGGGTGCAGGGGGTGTTCTTTTCAAAATGTTGCTCCCGCCTTCGCGCTGCGCACATTCGCTTTATTACCCGGGACCTACGCAAACCTTCTTTCCACGTGCGAAGACTGAAGAAGACATTGACAAGTCTTCTTCCCCAGGAGCCCCCAGGGACGGAGAGGTCGTGTGTGGTACTTCGCTGCGCTTGGTCCCCCTGCGGCCCGAAAAATACGCGACGGTTTCGCGGCTCGCAGCCCCCAGCGACGGCGAGCTCGCATTTTGATGTTTGCAGGGCGTCATAATGCGGGGGGCCCCAGCAACCTCCGAAAACGGCGACAGAGTCGCAATGAGCAGCCACCCGGGACGGCGAGGTCTCGTTCTGATGTGCGTAGGACGTCACGGTGCCAGACCTCCCAGGAGGCCACGACAGTGGCGACAGTTGCGCAGTTCGCAGCAACCCAGGGACGGCGAGGTCTCATTATGATGTGCGTAAGACGTCAATAGGATGGGCCCCCGAAAGAGGAAACGGTTTGCCTTGATGCGGGTCTAGGAGGGGTGAGGCCTCGAACGAATCTTCCTCTCACTTGACTCCTTCCCCAGTTCTCTTCCTCAGAGTCAATATGTTTCTTCTCCTCCTCCCCCTCCTCCTTCTCCTCCTCCTCCTCTTTATCCGATCTTTTCGAATAAGGGCACGGATCAGCAGCAGCAGCAGACGACAATGTTTAATTGTTTCGGCAAATTTGCCCCTGGCGTGCTGTCGGCTCAGTTGCTCATCCGTTTGACCACGGCGGACCAAAATACTTGATTCGAGGATACGCCATCCAAGTGAGACCATCTCCGATCGCGAGCTCGAATGCACTGTCGTGCTTCTGTTGCACGAGACCTCTCGCCGTGAGGTGAATGCTGGCCCCTGGCCTGCAGGCTGCCTTGAACTCGAAGGCAAGGAGATGCTAAAGCGTGCGCTTGTTAGCGGGTGATGCGCCGCGGGCTGTTGCACTTGAGACGCACTTCCATCCTCACATTCACTTTCCGGGAAAGTTGCGTTTGAGACGTGTTTTGTTCCTCACCTCCCACGATTTGCACTTTTTGTGTTCCTGGAGTGGTTACCCTTCAGGCGCGTGTTCTTCCTCACCGCAACTGCTCGTGCAGATTGCGTTGCAGACGCGTTCTGTTCTTCACGCGCTGCACTGCTTCGCTTGCGTGTCCCAGCTTGGTGCCCCCCCCTCGCCCTTGCCTGGGATCCATCAGCGCCTGGGACTGTGGAGCAGCAGCGGAGCTCCACCACCTCCACCTCCTCATCCTAATGCTCCTCGTGTTCCTCTTCCTGATGCTTCCGAGGGGTGGGTGCGGCCTCTCACAGTCTCTCCGCATCCTCTATCCTCAGAACTATCTCCTCACTGTCACACCACCAAAAGTGTTGGTATAGCGGGCCGGGCGTTTCCCTCGAGACTTCCTCACGGTGTGTGATCCTGAAGCTTGGGATTTACAACAGTTTCACAGATGGAGGGCGCGTCGTTTTCAACATGTAGCTCTCGCCTCAGCGCCGCGCTCATTGGTCATACAAGATTGCAGCGGTCCCACAAATTCAGGATGGCTCGTGTTCAACATGTAGCTCTCGCCTTAGCGCCGCGTGCATTCGTGTTCACAATTTGCATGCAACAACTCCACGGATGGAGGACAGGTCGTTTTCAAAACCTGAGCGCCGCGCGCGTTCATCTGAAAACCTTGCAGCATAATCAAACATGAAGGGCGGTTCCTATTCAAAATGTGGCCCCCGCCTTAGCGCCGCGCGTATCCGTTTCAGAACTTTACAACAATTTGGAGGATTCGTATGGTGTCCCAAGAATTGTGTTCTGGCACGGTCCAGGATTGTCAGGACGCGACATTCACGTTGACTCGCTGTTTGGAAGTTCCAAAATCGGCGCCCTCGCTCGATTCAGGACTGTCGGGGCGTAACAATCACGTTGATCCGCGGAGATGATGTCCAACGAACGGTCATTCGTCAGGAGTCAAGATTCTCGAACAGATGTCTTCTACTAGGCCCCTTGACGGAATGAAGCAAACAATTTAGGGGCCTGCGAAGAGGGAACTTAGAGGGAGGGTGTACTGCAACATCGTTGAAGCGTCTGTTGTAGTTTTTCAGTGGCCCCCCTCCTCCCACCCCTAACCTCCACCCCTTTCATCATGAAACAAAATTCCTCACTGTCGCACCCCCGCACGTGTCGACAGGGCAGGCTGGGACTTTCGCCCGACATTGCCCCACAACGTATGATCCTGATACCTTTGGGATGCGAAACAGTTCCAGAAGATGGGGGAGGAAGGTCGCTTCAACAATGCGGCGATCGCCGGAGCGCTGCCCACACTCGTCGTAAACATTCGCAACAGTCCCGCAAGTGGAGGGCGGCACGTGTTCAAAATGTAGCGCTCGCCTTGGCGCCGCGAGCACTCGCGTAACAGATTGCAGCAGCTGCACGGGTGGATGGCAAGCCGTTGCCAAGAGCAGGCTCCCGCCCCATCGGCGCGCATATCTTCGCAGGAAGCTTGTGGCAGCTTCAAGGCTGGTGGGCGGGCCGCTATCAAGATGAATCAAGATGTGGTTCTCGCCTTAGCGCCCAGCACACTCGCTCAAATAGCCTGGAGCAGCTTGCAGGATGGAGGGTGGTTCTTTTTGAAAATGTAGTTCTCGTCTCAGCGTCGCCCACATTCGACTTCTAAGCTTGCAACAGTTTCAGAGCTTCGAACGGTGAAAGTCCCAGGAACGGCGTTCTGGCACGATCTAGCAGCGCAAACGCAACAGTCACGTGGATCCGCAGTGTCGAAGTCACAGGAAAAATATATTGTCACAACGAGGGATTGCCAGGGCGCAACAGGCACTGTGTTGTGGCACGGCTGAGGATTATGAGACTGATGTCTTCCAACGGGAAACTGAATATAATGAAATTGAACTATTGGAAGGGCCCAGGTACAGCGAACTTGGAGGGAGGGTGTAGTGCCTCGCAACACCGTTAACGCGTCTTGGGTTTACACTGGTTTCCCCAGTAATTATACCTCTTTCCGAATGCACGAGCTGGCCTTGACGGCTGGAATTCTCCTCCTTCGGCGACGGAGTCCCCGGCCAACGGGGGCGAGCGGGAAAAGAAGGATAAGCTGGAAGGGAGGGCGGACGAGAAGGACGAGGAACTGGGAGGCGCAGGACAGGTCAGAGGAGCTTACTGAGCTTGAGGGGGCGGAGGGGGAGGCGGCAAGAGCGAGGCGGAAAACTAGGGCCAGCGAGAAGATCGCGGAGCGGGGAGCGAGGAGGAGGGCCCAGCGGGAGGGGGCCCAGACGGGCGACGCCCTGCTCTTCTCGATGCGGGACCCCCAGCAATTCCGACCCGCTCCCCCGGACCGGCTCGTCGCCCCGTGCGCTCTCTTGACGGCCCTGGGGCCTGGCGCACGCCCCCGGAGGCCGAAGATGGCCAGAAAAACCTCCCGCCCCGATGGTTTCACGACGCGATCCTGCCTGGGGGCGGGGGGGGCAAAGGGGGGGGGGGCCTTGATGACCTGCAGCTCCTCCTCGGCCATCCGCGGCTCCCCGCCGACCCCCCTGGCCAGCGGGGAGGCGCTGAGCGCCGCCCTCCGCCCCCCCGGCGCGGGAGCAGCGCCAGGGCCAGGTCTCGCGCGCGCTGCGCCCCCGCTGCAGGGCGAGGGGCGAGCAGGAGGAGGAGGAGGAGGAGGAGGAGGAGGAGGAGGAGGAGAAGGTTTGGGACCGAGACCTTTCTGGCACTCTGGAAAGAGCCAGAGCGTTCTTCATACAGAACCACTCGGACTCACCTTACACGTTGCTTAAGAGAGTCATTTCTCATCTGTTGTGATCTAAGCCGTGCATTTTGCCAGGGGGCAGACACATCACGGGAAAAGAAAAGAGCTGGCATCGACGCTTACGTGCACGAAGGGGAGCTTGTAGACTACTTTCACGTGCGCTGCGGGCCAGAGATATCCTTGCTTCGCATCATTCTGCACAAAACATGGCAGGCAAAGGAGGGACACGGAATTCAGGACCAGGTGTGCAGTGGGATTGCGTGCAGTGCGGACGGTATGTAAAAGGGCACCACTGGCGTTGTTTGTGTGGACAGACATACGGACAGAACCAACAGCAGCAGAACTGGGCACATCATAGTTCAGTATTGCAGGGTGGTGCTCATTACGGTGGTTTGAGTTCAGGACGGGTGCAGGCGCGGGATGTCAAGTCCAGAGCACCATCAAGGCCGAGGGCATTAGTCACCGAGCTCGACAACAAAAAAGCTGTGAAGAAGTATCTGTCATCCATCATGCCGGCTTGCAAGTCAGATGCAGAGAGTTCATCATTCTTCGAGCCCGCTCCGTTGGAGATTGAAGGCCTCAAAAAGTTCAAGGCGTCACTGAGGCAGAAGCTCAAGGGTCTTGCTACTCTGGGCATTGCTGGACGAAACATTGGGAAGGACTGCCTTGACACGGTCAATGAGATTGCGGTTCTGAATATATGCTAAGCATGATGGAGCCAATCACCAGGCAGCTCCACGAGTTACGCCAGAGGAAAAATGTTACCACGGACAGAATGAAAGTACTGGAGGGAAGGCTCAAATCTACACAACTGGACATACAGCAGTGTCAAGTAGAGTTGCAGCACATCAAAACCAGCATCGAAGAGCTTGAGGAGCTTGATGACTCGGACACCGAGATGGCGGATACGTATGCTGACGATCGTGGCAGTGGAGGAGGAGGCGGGACAAGTGCTGCAGCTTCGGTCGCGGCTGAACGCCCTGCCCCTCAGAAGATCCACACGCCGAGGGGTGAGCATCGCACACATCCAGCAGGCGCAGCCCCAGAACCGACGGTTCCTGGACCGCCCAAGGCCGAGCCACCGCCGCTCGGAGCACAGCTCGAAGGTATGATGCAGCTTCTGTCCAACCTCATGGCTAAGCAGAATCACACGGAGTCGGTGCTCAACAGTCTAGGGACTTTTGTGATGCAGCAGGCTACGACGGCTGGAGTTGCAGGTGCGGCAGGGGCAGGAGGATCGACTGGAGTTTTTCCTACTGGGGGACCTGCGGCGGCGACGACAGGGCCAGCCCCCGAGGGAGCGCAATTCAAGACGCCGCCGCACAAGTCCAGGGCGGCGAACAGTCCAGGACCAATGAGAGTACCGCCAACACCAGTGGAAGGATGTCCAACTCCAGTCGCAGCTACGCCGGTGGATCCTTCGACCAAGGTGACAATGCCCAACTTCGGACAATATGGAGATGGCGAGATACCTTACATGACACAGATTTCGCCGACTCAGCCATTTCATCACATGGAGATGGAGGATCCCAACATGCCAGCGCCAGAGACATCGGTGACGGACGGCAGTACGACGGCAAGTTCAACACCTATGGGAGCTCCATATACAGCAGAGCAGATCGCCGAGCAGACCCGCAAGAGGAACGAGAGGGAGGCCGCAGCGGGAGCGGCCGCGCGGCCAGTTCCAGCAACACCAGAGGGCTCGCCGAGCGGGCTCACCGACGCGATGGGAGTTGTCAACCTCGTGAGCCAGGCCACGCAGGAGGCACCTGTCGACTCCGAGACGGCCAGTCCGCCGCGCAAGGAGGCAAGGACCTCCGCGTGAGGCTGGGATCTGTGCAAGTCAGATTTTTCCGAACAGATGAGGGACCACCAAGAATTTCCCCTCTTCCTCACGTTACTCCACAGCGTTCCATACTCAGACATGCAGCATGCAGTATTGAAACCTCAGTGGACTCATCTCGTTCGGAGAGCAGGGCATCACCCTGCCACAATTTAGTTTCCTTTGACGTTGCTAGAAGTGATAATGACACTTGTCAGGCTGTTGAGAATATGTCGGGTAACCACGTAGGATCCAGTCTTGATTTCTCAGGAGTTTCTTGGGCATGGGGAACCCCTAAGGAGTATGAGTTTTTCCTCGAGCTTGCTTGCACGTGTGTATGTGGAAAAAAGTTAGAGGTTATTGTTTCGCTGTTTTTGAGCTTTTATCTTGCTAGGTCGTGCAAGTCTCCAGCTGAGGCAGTGTGCACGAGCAACTTATGTGAGCCGGAGTCTTTAAAGCATCCTGGTTCAAATTTTCATGAAGCTGGGGGTGGGCGCTATCATTGTCTGATTATCACAGAGGGGTGTACTAAGAGTAGATACACCTCTCCTTCGGAAGACAATGACTGGCCGCCTGCTCTAGGCTATCTTTGGCTGGAAGCTTTAGATGGGGCGGGATGGGCAGGAGTAAGGCGGAGAGGGGGGATTCCGACTACACAGGTCTTGAGACCCGACGCTCCTGTCTTTGTTCCGCGGGAGGCCGAAGTCAGAGGGGCTTGGCCCAATCCGTTGGCACCAGCTTGGAAAAAGGAGGCATATTCCACTGATTGTGAGCCGCCCTGTTCCTTGTGGTGTATCGCAGAAGAAACATCACTTTTTGGGCGGCTCCACGATTTCTCGCTCGATGCTTGGATTTCGATTCACCATGCTCCGACGGTGCGTGTATCCGCATCGTCTGAATTAAGAAATGTTTTGGTATATCAAGGTTCGCTTCTAGGCTTACAGGCAGCTGTTTCGTTTCCTAGTATCCAGGTCAACGCTTTTCAGTTTCTCTGGGGCTCTCGGCTGAGTTTCGAAACCTATCTGTGTTGTCCTGGGTTCACCTATTTTCATCCTGGGCCGATACTGGCCAAGCTGCTCCCACGCCGTTCTACCCCCCCCCGACACTTCAACATGTCGGGGAAGAGGCGAGGCATCAGGTACTGTTCCCCCACTCCAGAGCCCCTCTCCTAGCTCGGTCACTGCTCCTCTAGTTTGCCCAATGAGTCGTTTGGAATCCTTATATTCGATCATTCAACGACATGGCAGGCTGATCTGGACAACAGATATCGAAGGAATACAACTACCAGAGTTGGTTCAACTTGCCCTGGATATGTGTCCGACAAGACAAGCTGACTGGACAGCATTTCATTTTTTCACTGACGGGTCCGTCAAGGACTTAGACATGCAGTCTGCCACGTGGGCTGTGGTCCGAATATCTGAGGACTCGAACGGGCTCTCTTACACTGGGCATGTACACGGGTATCTTGCAGACACCTGCAGGACACCAATTACCGCTAACAGACCCTCGTCAACGGACGCGGAGTATGTAGGTGTGATGTGGGCTATTATTGCCATCATTTATGAAGTTGCCACGTTTGGTACCACGATAGCGACTATCAACACAGATTCTTTGAACGTGGTTACGGCATTGCGTGGTGAACGCGCACTGGATACATCTTGCAGGCTAGCGGTCATGACAAGAGTGCTATGGGATTTAGCGGGGTCAATTGCAAATGTTTCTATTTCTCACATCAAGGGTCATGATGGCCACCCTTGGAACACCTTTGCGGACAAATTGGCCCTGGGGACCTCTCGTGGTGATCTAATTCCACCTAGTTTTCCTTACGAACTGCTTGATGTCACATTGCACTCTCGTGAAAGGGAATGAGAATGGTTGAATCAGTTGGATGATAGTGAGCGAGCAGCCTATCCTCCAATTTCCTCTGAAGGTTTCTGTTCCTTCCTGTCTTGTGACCAGGTCAATGTTGGCCATGTACCGGACCCCTTGGGACCCTCCAAAGTTATTAAGGCTCAGGTAAGCTGCTCACTCACGGTTGTACAATATAACGTTAAAAGTCTGACGCGACGTGAGTATTACGGGGCAGCGGACCGCAAAAGGCGAGCCCGTCGTGTCATGGTGCGATCCCAATTAGCGGATGAAGGTGTCCATATTGCCGGGATGCAGGAGACAAGGAACCCTATAGGCGATCGCTCATGCAAAGGCTTTGCTATTTTCTCCTCAGGAGCTGGGCCAGGTGATGACTCAGGCTTAGGGGTGGAGCTCTGGATCAGTCTGGATATCCCGTATGCTCAAACATCAGGTAAAGACTTGTTTTTCTCAAAGCGCCACGTTAGGGTTTTGCACTCCACCCCACGTATGCTTGTTGCCTGCATTAGGGCACCTGAGCTTTGTCTCACAGTTCTGGTTGGGCATGCCCCCCACAGTAAGTTAGACGTCGCCGTCAGAAATAGATTTTGGGCTGACGTGGCTCAACAGACAGCAGACTGGAGCCCTGATTTGTTTCTCGTTGATGCCAATGGGCGTGTGGGTTCACAGGTTTCAGAATTTGTTTCCGATCAAGGTTTCTCTCAAAAAGAAGATAGCAACGGGGACAGTCTGCATAACATTTGTGCGATTTCGGGGACCCATCTGTTGAATACGCAGATCGCAGCTGCAGATGATTACACTTACACCTGCCCTGGGGGAGAGCACCATCGTATCGACTACATCGGGTGCTCTCAATTCTTACGCGACTATGCTAAGAGTACTGAGGTGTTGCATGATTTTGACACTGGGCTGAAGGGCAAGGATCATTATCCCCTTAAGGCCAAGTTTGAGTGGCAACAAGCTGTCAAGTACCCCCTTCTCCAGGCCAAACCCATTGATATGAGAAGGCTTAAAAATCCGGATGATGTTGCCCATTTCAAGACACTACTGAACGCCATACCCCAACGAGAAT